CAGACAGAATAAAACATTTTGGTCAACTGAGACAGTTCCTCTCCATAGGCATCCTTCAGTCTCGAGAGACTATGGTAACATGCTCTGAATCGAGGAGTGTCCTCTACAGAGCATGAAGCCTGGGTAAAGTAATATGGAGGATAGGCTGTTACCCAAGCAGCAGATGCCCCTCTCCATGTTGCTGAAATGGTCCAATGGAAAGGCAAGAGCCAATACAACTGGTTCCAGCAACGTTGCAGGAGTTGGCAGAACGACACAAATTGCCTTCGGGACTCCAGCTCCGGATTTTGCCTTTAGGCTAACTCCTGAAGCCTTTTCCATGAGTGGATATAGCCACAAGGCAGTGGAGGTTTGAAATCGGAGTCAACAGATGGCCTACAGTTCCTCTAATTAATTAATAAGTGAAGAGATTTTTTGAAAAGTAATTTTTTTTCAACAGATGGCCTACACTGTCTTGGAAGTAGCATTGTAGTCTAGGACAATCTCTCCACAAGAATCATGTGCCTCCCAAAAAACAAGCTTTCCTCATCCCCAGAATACTTTTTCTGGTGCAGGCATGTGATTTGAGGGCTGCAGTTCATGAAAACCTATGCCAAATAAAACATGTTAATTATTAAAGACACCACAAGACTATTTGATGTTCTTCTGCAGTAACATACGGAGCTAATATCCTTCCCTTCCAAATTCTTAGCTGCAGCAGCACATGCATATTGATTTCTTGGAACAATTTTATGTGAAAATCCATGCATATTAAATTGTTTGATCAATCAACTAAAATATATCATTAACTGGTTGAGAGTACTTGATCATAGGCGGTCATCATAAGTCAGAGACAACAACAAAGAGTACTTTAACTGACATACAGTTCAGTTACTATATGCCGTTAAATTCTATAATTGTTTGGAGTGAGGTATTTCATAGTAAATGTGTTGAAGATTGCAGCTTTAAGATGAAAACAGAAGGATTTATTTACCAAACATATTTGGAATCAGTCAGCAACACCAAAAATAAAAATCCTTTTTTAAGCTAAAAAGCTCACTGGAAGGACAGATCCTGAAGCTGAGGCTCAAATACTTTGGCCATCTCATGAGAAGACTCCCTGGAAAAGACCCTGATGTTGGGAAAGTGTGAGGGCAAGAGGAGAAGGGGACGACAGAGGATGAGATGGTTGGACAGTGTCACTGAAGCTAGAGGGGCGGGGTAAAAATCTAATAAACAAACAAACAAACAAACATGAATTTGACCCAACTCCAGGAGGCAGTGGAAGACAGGAGGGCCTGGCGTGCTCTGGTCCATGGGGTCACGAAGAGTCGGACACAATGACTAAACAACAACTACAGCAACACCAAAAATACCAATATGTGCAGTCTTAAACTGCTCAGCAGAAAGTCCCATTGATTTTAGTAAGGCTTATTCCAAGGCAAATGGGGAAAGTGTCTCAGTTTATTAGGGACTAGTCTGATTAAGAATAGATGATGGTTTGTTACTCTTATTTTTGTTCCCACCCTACGTTCTCTTCCATCAGCCAAAACATCCCTAAGTTTCTAAGCTATCCAACTTTTGCTAAGAAATCATCCTCAAAGGCAAATCAAACATGTCAAGATTTCTGGCTGGGGAATCCTGAGAGGCACCACTAGCAAATGATCCTCTCCATCCATCGAGTCACCAGAGAGTCCCCACACCACATGCAACCCCAAAGGACTGCAGCGACCTGCCAAGCTTCAGCTTCCTTAAAAGTGAAGCGAGGGAGGGGAATTAGAGGGAGTTACAAAGAGAGAAGTTACATGATTCAGAGCCTGATCCAGAAAACTAGTGAAGCAGAGACACCTAGGATAGGACAATACTGCAATTCCATGCAGATGTGCATAGCAGTGCTTGGAAGTTTTTTTTGTTTTGTTTTGTTTTTACATATCAGCTTCTAGAATCTCTAGTCAGCATGGCCAAAGCCTCAGATGATAAGTGAACTCCCCATTCTCTGCTCAGCAGGAACTTCTGTGTTTTGCCTGCAGTGGGATATAAATCCAGGAACTCTTATTTTACATTTTCCAAAATAGGGAGGAAGGAAATAATCATCCATTATATTTGTTTGTCCCAGCAGTCCCATGTAAGGCTTCTTTGGGGAAATTGTGGTCTACGAGGACTACAACTCCCTCCATCCCTCACCAGTGACTAGAGTGGCTATGGTTGATGGGACTGACAGTCCAATAATATCTAGAGGGCCACAAACCCCCTCCTGAAGACACGTGGAAATCTCTAAGGATCGGCTACAATGCTGTGCATAATTTGGTTCATCCTATTAAAGCGATTGTCTGATAGTTGCCCACTAATCTCAAACCCTGGTAGGACAATGGGAACTCACTTGGAAGAAAAGTCCCATTGAAATCCATGGCAATTGCTTCTGAATATCATTATCGGCTACATTGTCAGAATTACTAGGCAGTTGAGTATGATCCAGGGCACTCTGGTATTATTTCTGCTCCCTTGCTGGCCAGCAGAATTCATTTCACACAACAGTATTCAGGAGGAGATGTAAGGCTGAGATACAATCTACCCTTATCTGGGATAAGTGATTGAACTCACTGAAATGCATGTGGGTGGGTGGGGGATTGGGTGGCTGTGAGACTTTTAGATATTCTCCCTTCAACCACAGGGCTCATAGGGCAGCCTTGGGCACATGGTGTTCTCTCACCTTGGTTCCTTAGATTAAAAGTAGCACAAGTAGGAGCTGCAGGTAGTCAGAAATCAACACTTTAAAGGTAAAGGTAAAGGTTCCCCTTGACAATTTTTGTCCAGTCGTGTTCGACTCTAGGGGGCAGTGCTCATCCCCGTTTCCAAGCCATAGAGCCAGCGTTTTGTCCGAAAACAATCTTCCGTGGTCACATGGCCAGTGCGACTTAGACACGGAACACTGTTACCTTCCCACCGAGGTGGTCCCTATATATCTACTCGCATTTACATACTTTCAGAGGTATATATGAGACTCCTGAGCGAAGTATTTTTTGGTATACGTATATGAGACTCCTGAGCGAAGTATTTTTTTCTTTTTTTTTAACTGCCCTCAAGTCTCTTTCAGCTGATATGGCAACACTAACAGGGTTTTTTGAGGTATGTGAGATACAGTATTTAAGGTGTGATTTGTCATTGCCATCTCCCTTTATTTTCCATGGCTGTGTGGTGATTTGAACCCAGGTCTCTGGAATCCTTGTCCCACATTCTTTCCATGACCCCACACTGTCTCTCATCCCAACCAAAGTACTCTGACTTATTTCTGGCTACAATCCCCTAGATTTCCCAAGTTCCTTTCTATTCACCCCACCCCACCCCACCCCACCACTCCCCAATTCTAGTGTGCATCAATGATATTTCTGATTTAGAGTCAGTGGGGTATACTGGGCAGAATGATGGACTAGAACTGGGTTCAAATTCCTGCTCAGTCATGGAAAATCACTGGTGGGTGACACTAGCATCTCACATATTTCAGAGAACCCTGTTAGTGCCGCCATAAATCAGAAGCAATTTAAATGCACTGTAACAGCAGCCCTTAGCCTACAATACCAGAGATCAGACGAACAGAAGGCTTTGTATTCTTGATGTGATGATTTGAACAGCTCCCCCATCCTTTCCCTCCTGTACAGTATTTATATACAAAAAGTATGTCCTTTTTCCTTCTTAAAATCTACTAGGCAATTCCTTCTACTTACTGTATGTAACTTTACAGCCCCACCTCTTTCCTTTCCTAGAAATCTGGGCTGACTGGAGGGGAGTCGTGATTGTTATGTGCCCATCAAGTCACCCCAGACTTATTGCTAACCTTCGAATGAGCCACCTCTCCAAAATGTCTTCAACAGCCCTCCTCAGCTTTTTGCGAGCTCAAACCTGTGCAATTTAGGGAGTCAGTCCATCTCCTATTTTGTCTTCTTCTTTTTCTGCAAGCCTCCACCCTTCCCGTCTTTTCCAGAGAACCTCCTCTTCTCATGCTGTGCCCAAAGTAGGATCCCCTCAGTGTCATCATTTTTTGCCTCCAGAGACAGAGAGCTCAGGCTTGATTTGCTCTAAGACCACTTGTTCGCCTTGCTGGCATTCCAGGGGCATCTGCAAAGCTCTCCTAGAGGGGACTTGGTCCCCTTTAAATATTAACTACAGGACGATCCTCGCAGCCAAAGCCGCGGGGCCCCAGAAGGTTACTGCGGCTCAAGGTACACTGCGAGAGGGGGATTCGGAGCATTGGCCCTCCCTCGTTGCCGTTCCTTTGTAGAAAACAATGGATTGTGTGTGTGTGTGGGGGGGAGAAATGCCGACCCGTTCGCGCGCCTTATATCTTTTCCTTCCTCTTTCTAAGCAGAGTGAAACGACCCCCCTCTGAAATATGGGGGGGGTGAGATATCCCCACGTCTCGGAGTCTACTAGGAATCCAGGTCACCAGGATGGGTGCCTTCACGCGCCCGCCCGCGCACACCCTCCCCGCGACCAATTGCGCGGGGCGTCGCTTGTTAGGGGCGACCTCTTTCTCCCGCTCCGGATGCCAGCGCCTGGCTTCCCGCCCCTCCGCCTTAGTTGACATTCCTCCAGGCTGGAAGAGCTCCGTCCGGCCCGGGAAAGCGACGCGAGGCCGCGCTCGGCTCTCGCCCTCCCGCCTTTCCAAACCCGCGCGCGGGACCACTCTTCCTCTGAGAGAAAACTGGGCTCCGTCCTCTCACGTCCAGCTCTCCCTGAAGGGGGATTAAAAGACCTAAACCCGGCGGGCGACACACACACACCCGGTTTAGAGAAAATCACTGGTAGAGCGCGTAGAGCGACGGACTGTCTCAGTAGAGCTGGGTTCGAATCCCCGTCTGGGCGGTGGAAATACAACGACGGGGGAATGGGGGTGGGAAGCACTCCACGTACCTTTAAAAAAACAACCCCATTTGGGATGGCCGTAAGTCGAGCACGAGCAGAGGGCACCTAACAACACCCGTCCCGTTACCTCTGGCTTACTTCCCGGGCTCACCTCCACTCACCCGGCCGCTGAGGTTCTGTTCCGAAGTTTGAAGGCGAGAGCTCCTTGGCGAAGATGTAACCCAAGCAGGGTCGGGGGCTGGCTAATGTCGACAGAGGACTATCCGTCGGGTCCTACAGTTCTGACTACAGTTAATTATTATTTTCGTCCTCGTGATGCCAACCGTAGGAGCCCTGCGACGGCCAACCCGTGCCCGGGGTAGGAGCGCCCGTCCAGCCCGGCACCGCCGTCTAAGTTAAACGGGGCGAACACCTCCATCCACCTCTTTTGAGAAGCCCGTGCCTGTGGGTGCGTGTGAAGAGGAAGCGCGAGAGAGTTTGGAAGACGACGGGCACATTAAAAACAAACAAAAATCCACGAACGCTTCTCACCTGGCTCTTTCTCCCGTCCAGTTCCCGATACCATAATAGGGGATGAAGCGGGAGGCACGGCCAAAAAAGAAAAATGGGTGGGGGGAGGAAGCGGGGATGGACCTGGGGGGGCATTTACCCACCAGAGATGGAGCGGCCGAGCGAGGCAGAGGCATACCCTTGAAAGCCGAAGTCCACCTTATTCTTATCCCCCACTGTCACAGGGTGTGTGAGGAGGAATCTGAAGATCCCGGCGCACGCTCGTCACCTTTAAACTACACATCTGGAGGTGGGTTGCTTAGCGATTCTGAAATAAATGTGATTAAGTATTGGAACTGCGGGAAGGGTGGGGGCCACGCGCTGGGAGAGCGCGGGAGAGTGGGAGTCCGTTTCTAAAATGCTTGTGCAATCGGGATTTTTTCCCCCCTCTTTCTCCTTTTTAAAATTAATTTTATTTTGGGGTGGCGTCGTGGTTTGAGAGCGAGCGCCACCTCGTGGCCGACGCCAGTCAGTACCGTACTGTTCTCCGCTCTGGTGGGTTATATAAAAAAATGTTCCTTAGCTCGAGTGGCGACCGGCGTTTAATGATGAGACGCACCATCTGGCTTTCTGATTTTTTTTTTTTTTACCAAATGCAAACAGTTGTTGTTGGTGTTTTTCCTAATGAGAACATGCAGCTGGTGGAGATGCCCAAGTATTTAAAAAGAAAAATGGAAAACCATGACAAAGAATTACATTTTTCACTTGCAGAACTAACTCGCTAAGAAAGGAAAGTGAGATAAGGGCCACTGTTGCTATGAGCACCCTGGTCTGCTCTCCCACAGAGTTCAAAAGTGTTACTTTGTTGGTCCACTGTTCACAGAATCCTCCAGTGAGCTGGACCAGTTGGCCATACAATGCTAGATATTTCTGGGAATTGTGGTCCAAAAATGTAACTGTTACTCTGAAAACATCAGAAAAGTGGGATCCGATGGAGGTGGGCAGATAAATACATTAGACATTACCAATTGTTTTGTTGTTGTTTTCCTTCCTTTAGCCTCTGGGGACCTTTTTTCTTGTCCACAAGGCAATGGGGGCAGAACTTAGTTGATGGAGATACTGCCTTGCCATATCACCGTCCCACCACTGGGCACTGTTTTCAGCTTTTAATGGGTACGGTCCTGCCACATACTGGATGCCCAAACCCCTGGTAGCACTGCCACCTAAATTTGGGACAGCTCAAGGGTTCTATTTATAATGGCTGTGAGCCTACATATCTGTAAACTGGTCTGGTATCCACTACCCGGGACTCACCTTGTATCTGAAGCTTGCCCTGGATTGTGGGTTGTAGTAGTTATTGTTATTTTCAAACATATGTTTTTTATCACCTAGGCTGATGAAGAATTCTAAAGAAAGCAGAGTTTCCACACAGTTGTGGAACTGCAGCTGGTTCCAGAAGAGGTAGGGGACTGCAGCCCCTGGAGCTATTTTGTGGCCTTATCAGACTGATCCCACTCAGAAAAAGGGCAGCAATTCTCCTTTAAAATAGGCCAGCAGGCTCACTCATATTTAAAACTACAACATTTTAAAAATCAGAAGTGGATTTCTGCCTGCTACCAGACTTTCTGCTATTCTCTTTCACTTTTTTTAATTTTTATTTTATTTTATTTTAGCAGTCTGACCTGCCCACAGAGACTCCTAGGCAGACAAAATGGGTCTTACAGCCTGCTGGAATCCCCCCCCCTCCTTGGAAATAAAGTTTTTGCCCACTGCTGGGTTTGGGACAGCTCATTAGTGAATTTTTCTAGCTGGAAGATTCTGGGAGTTGTAGTCCAAAAACAAACTAACTCTTTATGGCATCACTAGCAATGACCCTGGCAGTCAGGCCCCAGGCTTCCCTACAGGTTCAGAGTTCCGAGGTGCTTCTTGCAACAACCACTGTTTCATAAGCAGAAGATTCCCAGGGGCAGATGAGATAAGGAGAGAAGACAACTAAGTATGTGGGGAAGCATCAGCATGGCTCCCTGGCCTAGGGTACCCCCCAGACCTCCTGGAACAAAGGTCCAAGATCTATCTATTCAGAGGAGGGAAAATGATGGAGAAATGCTCAAGAAGGAACATTCAGAATTCTTGTCCTTACTTAATTATGAGGTGGCTCAGGGGTATATGTGCATATCTCTACTGCCCCCTCTAGGCATACAACTGTATGTGTGCGTCATTGAACCTTTCTCATTTCTAACACCTTTGATGTCAATGTTTTGTGCTAGGCATAGAGCTACTGTAAAACTGTTTTGCCAAGGAAGGGAGAATGTGTCGGGAAGATGAAGAAGTATAGATTTCTGGCTGTAACATTAGACACAATGAGATGCTTGCCTCAGGCAGCATACACTAGGCGGCAGCAACATAGTGACATCATCTGACCTGTGTAAGAGTCTGCAGGGAATGGATGCCCAGCTCCCAATCTTTACTCATGAAACTTCCATTCCTACTGTACAAAGTGATAAAGAAAATAGGGTGAAAAGAATGGAGGCGGGGGGGTATTTCAATTGAAACTGCATTTTCTCCTGATAGGCATTACTTCCAGTTTGAGACTTCCACCGGGAAAGAGGAGATAGCTGAAGAAATCCTAAAGGCAGGAGGACTTTTAGTGAAATATTCATTTTTCCCCTCTCTCCTATGAGTCTTGTGTTTCATAACATCTGCTTCATATGCCATGGAAAAACAAACTCAGTTCTACAGCTGACTCTGCCACTGTCATGCTTAGTTCAGCTGTAATGCTCACCTACCTTGCAGGGCTGCTGTGAGCTTTATTAGATAGCTTCAGTGAATCAATTCTTACCATCCACGTCCTCTCCATCACACAATCCATGCACCCACTGGTCCTGTTTCCTGGTAGCCTGAAATAGGTACATCTGATTGGTCATGAGATCCTGACTGGGTGGAGGACCCCATCCAATGTTCTGGTTCAAGCAATGACACCTGCACATTTTCAACCACATGGCACATAAATGTGTACAAGAACTGACAAGTGTCCCTTGTCCACTGGCTTAGGGGTGAAACAAAACTGAACAGCAGGAATGAAATTAAAGTTTTGTAGAAGCAACTATGTGAACAACCAAGTAGGAGAATACTTGGTTACTGCTATTAATGGAGGAGAAATATAAGCCATGTCTGGAACCAAGTGTGCAAATACAGCATTAAAAAAACAACCCCTAGATTCTGACAGACACAACAAAGAAGAGAATCCTTTCTTATGGATGACTCTTACTTCAAACCTGCAGGGCTAAAGCAATGCTATATCTCTGTGGAGGAGAGGGGGAGAGAACAGGGTGAAAGCACTGGGCCTGCTTGTAAATTAAACAGCTAGATTAATGCAATGAATAATTATCAGTCATATTCACAACAAACAACTGCTAAACTAATAGTACATATCACAGTGCTGTTGGAAAGATTATTGACTAAACGGTAACTGGGAAGGAAAGAAAATGTCAAACTGACAGCAGCATGAACACAGAGGTGAGACACACAAAGGACATTTTGGAGTAATGACCCATGCCACAAATGGCTGGGATTTCAGCATGTCTTTTTCTTTTTATCCTTGCCTGGGTAACTGCACTATCTAATAGGGCCAGGGCAAGTCACTGAGCTGCAGTGGCCATGCTAGACTGCGTATTCTGGGCGCTGCAGTCCAAGAGAGTAATATTTCTCATTTCTGGCTATTTGCACTTCATAGACAAGCGTTCCATGGACAAATGGTGAATTGCTGAAGCCGAAAATCTCAAGGAAATGCGAACTGCTGACTTGGTAGAAAAGCAGGATAAGATCACCATTTAGTAAAAAAAAGAAAGAAACCATTGGTGCTTCTGGACCATTTGCCCTGAATGGAAGTTCAACATGTCTTCAGTAACAGATGAATGTGTTTTATTTTAATAAATATCCATTTTATTTCTGTCACTTGTGAATAAAAAAGGACACTTTGGAATAAATGGGGATCTTGGTACAATCATGTGTGCATTTAAGGCATGTGGTTTGGCATGGGCAAAACAGAGATGCCAGTGAGCAAGGGGCTGCTGGTGCTCGGTGTTGTTGGTAGAGCCGAGGGCACAACAGCCAATAGTGAGCACAGCCAGGGGTGACAGAGAGAGACAAGGGCAAAAGTGGGTGTTCACACACACTTGTGCAAACAAAGACACACATACACATATGCAGGCATTCATTCTCTTCTATACACATGCCGGTGGGCACAACAGCAAGTGTGTATGAACATACAGACATGGAAGGAGAGAGAAAGGCATACACTCAAATGCTGCTTTACTCTATGTATTCCTTTCACAACTTGACTGGGGAGCTGAAGAATGCACTTTGTTTCCAAATTAACAAAATCTTACCTGCTGCTGCTTCTCTCCCGGCTGGGCTTCAAAGGCTCATTCACTCACATTCATTCTGTCCTTTTCCTACTTCTTCCTTGCTCCCTTTCTCTCTTCCTCATGCCCATATTCTCACAGAGTGGAATGTGGCTGGGATTTAGGGAGGAAAGCAACACAGGCAGTCTTCAATTCTGTGCCTGTGGTAAAAGGTCAGGCGGGACAGGGCTGGCTGCAGGGGGTGACCTCAATTTGAGAGCTGAAAGTGTCCCCACTTGACCTATTGAACCAGTGGTGTAACAGAACTCCATTCTCCCCTCTGGTGTCACTTGCAGAAGAATCCTACATATATCACCTCAGAAATAAGTCCCATGGGATTTATTCCAAGGTAAGTGGGCACTGCACATTTTGCCCAATGTTCCTGTTTCTGGTCCAGTGAGGCAATCCTAGTTCAAAGGTGCACTGTCTATAGAGGATTACAAATAAGGGCAATTTTCTGTTGGCAGAATCTTTCTTCTAGCATAAATGCCTTTATGAAGCATAACTAGACAGCAGATATTTGAGGCCAGTTTGCAAACCCCCCTTTGCAAGCTGACGCCAGATATCTACTGTCTATTTCACTGCAAGGTTACATGACATTTTAGTCATTTCAGAAGCTCTTTAAAATTATTTTTTCTAGTTTTGATCCAATTCTAATACTAGAATTTTTTATAAAATATTTTTTTCAGTTGCAAAAAATAATAAGCAATGCAACAAGCCACGCTTTACCAGTGTGACA